TGGATGGATGGATGGATGGATGGATGGATGGATGGATGGATGGATGGGTGGAAACACACAAAATGGGCTTTTCCTTAAGAGTTTTACTAAGAGACAGCCACTATCAGATTACTTACACAAAGACTAGAACAAATACAAAACAAACAACTGGTATAAAAATGGCAGTCTCTGTGCCCTCGGCCCTTTCATCATTTCCCCCCTCACATGATGTAATGGGACTCAGAAGATTTACATAACTTCCTTTTGGGATGGAGAAAAAGCTATTTTGTTTTTTCATTTCATTTCATAACTGCAAATGACATGGCCACCAAGCTCTACAGGAAACCGACGTCTGCTTTTCACTCACGGTGGCAAATTTTTCTGGTTTTTCTCGAGCTTCAAACTGCTTTGACGGGGACTTTGCTGCCCGGTGCTTATTATTTCACACTGAACATATTCAACACATGAGAACCCCTGTTTCCATGTTTCCATGGTGAATCAAAAAATTGATGAGTGGGATTTTTCTCGTGATTCCAGTTCAGAGGCTGCAATAGCTCCCCTGAGGGTCATTTCTGTTGTGCTGAGGCTTTGTTGTGTCCTCCCCGGCCCCTGCTGCCATCGCCCCAAAAGAAACCGTTCATTCAAACAAATATACTTATTTCCCCCCCACGCCGAGGACGTGTGGACCACTGAAGCCGTGTGACGACGCCTCACCTGATTTATTTACAGTCCCGCTGCTCATAAACGAATTAAGGACCCAGGAAAATCAGCAAACGGGTCCAGACACATGGATGCATCAAAGCGAGGTGGAGGAGGAAAAGGCAATGCAATTATCATTTCACAGCCCGTGCAACAAAGCCACGGCGCAAATTAAATAACAATTACGACTTCAAAACGTGCTGCGAACCCAAAAAAAGGGAAAAGCTCCTGCTCCTGCAGGTCCGCGCTCGCAAACGTCCGCCTTTGAAGATTAGCGGCACTAAAGCTTATGTCACCCACTGAAGTCGCATCTTCAAATGGGCACACCGTCTCATTCGGTCATCTTCAAAAGACGGCTCTAAAAATACCACACTGCCACAACGGGACTGACCCCCCCGGACACAGAGTCTGCCGGGACCTGGGTCTGGTTTTCCTCAGTCCCGTCATTACTGAGAAACAGAAGGTCTCAGCAGAATGAACACTTTATACAGGACGGGTTGAATTGTGTGAGTTTTCCCTTTACCGGACTTTTTACATCAACGGTTAACTTGTTAAGCTTTTATTCTTCTTCTGTTATAAAAGTCTAGAAATAAATGACGACGAGTAAAAGCAATGCCAACAAAAGTTCTGAATGTGCTGCAAACCGTCTTATCTTCAAATCAGTTGTCCAGAAGAAATAAGAGTACTCTCAGATACAAACTGGATCTGAGTTTCCTCTTGATTTTTTTTTCTTGATAGCTAACAAATGCGGTCACAACACAATTGAAATGAAAACACGAAATTTAAAACAAAATGGGTTTTTAAGGTCTTGAACTGTCATGAATGGACAAAAAGGATGCCCCCCCCCCCAACACAAAATTAATGACCCAGACGAAAACACCTAAAAATGAACCGTTTGACTAAGAAAAATTTATGACATTAATCATAAATTTAATTGATCAATGTTAAACATTTTAAATGGTGTACCATACTCGTGTTGGGCAATTTTATTGCAAAACTCACCTTTAAAAAAAGCCATGAAAAGATAGAATAACCCCAATCTAAGCCACAGCATAGTGTCAAAAACTAAGGGCTCATCCAGTCTGTCCTTAAATAATATTCTAAGGAGAGCCTTAAAGGGGCTGAGCTCACAACCGTGATTCTAACCGTCAGTTTTTTCCTCCCCGGCCTCACTCTGGAGACGTGCTAGTATTATGCCATATCTGCAGACTAATCTATCCCATTACAAAGCCGTTATTAACAACCTACGTGCTGAGCCAGAGGCATGAGAAAAATCTCCTTTCTTCAGTCCCGGTCCGTTTCAGCTCCCTGCTCTCCACCTTCCACTTCCTCTCCGATAACGCACAACATGGCCTTTACTTCCCTTCGCCAAAAAACAGTCAGTGGAGGTTGGTGGGGGATGAACAGAAGGATGAGGGTCACTCATTTGTCTGAGAGTCGAAAGAGGTCGGATGTCATTTTTTGTAAGTTTAGGAATAAGCCTAAGAAGTGATGATACGCAAAATCTTGAGCTCAGTAAATAAGCCGCGCTGCTACAGGAGGAGCCAAACTCTGCAAATAGTTGGTTCCTCCTAGGAAAAAAGGAAATAAGTAAACGATGTTGATGAGCTGTTGATGTAAGGTGCTATTTTTGAAAAATGGCAGACGAGCTACGATGGATATTTTAAAATCTCAAGAAACAAATGATCTGGATGAGGTAAATTTCAACATTTATTCCACAAATAAACAAGATTTTAGAATCAAGAAATGGATTAACACTTTCTTTTAACATGTAACAAATTCATTTCTACAAAAGCTATAGTGCTATGTTTGGAAGCAAATTAAGGTAGGCTCCGTTCAAGTAATTGTCAAATACAAAATTAGGTATGCTTGTTAGTTTTTGTTCACTATTTGCTTTTAAATCTCAAGCCCTAGCAATTAGCCTTTTATATCAAATCAAGTTGCAATATAAAGCAATTTAAGTATCAAGGGAATCGAAAAGGGAGTAAAGGAACACTCCTGAAGGGAAGGATGAGGTAACATCATAAAATCACTCAGAACGTAAGTTACTGGAGACTATTTTCTCCATTTCTTTGAATAAAAAGTGAGGCTACAGATAAGAGTTTCCAGATTTCTTTCCTGGTTATTTCACTGTTGTTAAGGTCTTAGAGATCTTTTCGACATCTGCAGAGGGACGGGTAGGAGATGGTATAAGAGCATTGTGGATGTCAGCTTGTGGACATTTTTAGTTTAACCTGTTTAGATGGAAGGCTCACCTGTATTCTGTATCAGATTAGGACAAGGATACAAGGAATGAGCCGAGTTTTAAGTTATTTTCTTCAAAAAGGTCCATTTGGAGGGTCCTAAATGAACAGTTCAGATGTGTTTGATGATATATTCGACCTAAGTTGATCAATTTAATGCTGACAGTATTTAAGAAAAACGTATTACAGGTGACCTTGGATATATAATGACAGAATAAAACCATTTATTACACATCAGCTTGTTTCTGTCGGTGTGTTTTTACGCAGGCCAGCTGTCTTTGGACTCACAAATCGTGTTTTTTTTTCCCCTTCTACTCCTTGTTTTCTGGTATGCAACTGCTCATTGTTTTGATGACTCACAATGCGTTTGACTCTCAGCGACAATAGAAGCAAAGCCCCCGGTACACTACAGGCACCGTTACTCAGAGAGGAAAAAAAGGAAAAAAACGCAGTATGTGTTGTCCATTCTCTACTTTTGTAGCACTTTCAGAGATAGGCCCATACTGTATTGGGCTAAAAGTGGTCACATACCCTAACCCTAACCCTAACCCAACAAAAACTGAGTGGCATTCATCACAGATTTAATTTATCAGTGTTGAACATTTTAAATTGTGTACCATACTCATGTTGAGCAATTTTTTGTTGTCCATTGGTCATTTGAAATCCATGTGGATGGACCACTGATACAAAGGCGTGATTTATAAGGAATGGATTTCCACAAGGACAACATGCTCCGTTGCATGAAAATCAACACTTTTGGTTCCAAATGCAGATCGTATTCAATAATATTGTGGAGAGAAAACCTAAAAAAGACCTTGGACTGCTGTGTGTAGAGCTTTCCCTCCCTCACTGCCTGTTACTTACAATCCAATGCCAAAGCACACACACTCTCATCAAACAGAAGCTTTTAACATTTTTATCATCATTCCTATATATAAAGAGAAAATCTCCCTCTACAGAAAGCATTTTTGGACATGTCTCTCCCACTGCATCGTCACTACCAGTCTGTGCCCTGCTAACGAAAAAATAACAACAGACCTGCTTCTGTTCCACTCCCATAGTCAGGTTTCTGCTCCTATAGTGTCTTACATAACATTTCTTAAATCAATCTTAAGGTTTTCTGGATTACATGTTAGAATTTGGCTATAATTACTCACTTTAGCATTGTTTGCTATCACATAATATATGTCAATTACTGATTGTCTTATTCCTTTAGAACTATACTTTTGTGTTAAATTCTCTGGCTGTAACCACAGATTATTTTCCTCTCTTTTTCTCTCTCTGTTACATTAGACACACACACACACACGCACACAAACTTTGTTACCACATTCCAAGGTGATCTGCATTAATTAGGACCTGGCCTGTTCATGTCAGGGTTAGGGTTAGTAAGTAACCGGTTTACAAATCATCCAGTCCAGACAGGAGTCGAGACCAGAGTCCACACCGGAGTCCAGACCAAAGTCCAGACCAGAGTCCAGACCAGAGTCCAGACCGGAGTCCAGACCGGAGTCCAGACCAGAGACCAGACCAAAGTCCAGACCAGAGTCCAGACCGGAGTACAGACCAAAGTCCAGACCGGAGTCCAGACCAGAGTCCAGACCAGAGTCTAGACCGGAGTCCAGACCGGAGTCCAGACCAGAGCCCAGACCAGAGTCCAGACCGGAGTACAGACCAAAGTCCAGACCAGAGTCCAGACCGAAGTCCAGACCGAAGTCCAGACCGGAGTCCAGACCGGAGTCCAGACCAGAGTCCAGACCAAAGTCCAGACCAAAGTCCAGACCGAAGTCCAGACCAGAGTCCGGACTAAAGTCCAGAACGGAGTCCAGACCAGAGTCCAGACCGGAGTCCAGACCAGGGTCCGGACTAAACATGGAGAACAGCTCACGGTCATCTGATCGGTCATGTGTGTGTAGATATTTCAATGCCCCTTTGTTTGGCTGCCAAGCTATTATTTACAAAAAAGGGGGCGGAAAAAGACCATTATGACTGAGGCGTATCTATTCTGGAGAATGGCATGAGGCCAGACGGACAGAACACGTTTAAAACAAGCAGCAGAACATCCAGATGGACAAGCCAAACAAACAAATAACGCAATAGCCAGAAAGTCTCCGTGTTGTCGGCCGCACAGGTCCTTACGCCTCAACGTGACATGAAAGAAAGAAGAGGAGAGGACAGATCACGCCTGACAGGTCCTGGCCTCTCGTCCATGTTGACCGGTTTGACAACAGAGGCTTTTGACCCGAAAGCCAGCAGCTGACGGCGGCCTACATCCTCCCTGACCACGTTTGAAAGAGAGAGGGGGGTTTGGTAGGGATGGGACAGTTTCTGAAAACCGTCTGAACCGTTGGGTTGGACTGTCTCGGTTCGATTCGTGTGTGTTGCGTACGGTTCATGCTGCTCCTTTTTCTCATAAACGAAGCGTGTTCACTCCAGAGCAGAAGGGGGCGCTACTGCGCCCAAAGCCAACCACCAGTAGTAAACAATAAGAAGAAGAAGCAGCGTAGCCGATAATAAAAATCCTACGCGCCAACGGCAGTTTATAGGTCCACTGTTTGGACCACTTTGCATTTAGAGGGAAGCACATGTTGGAATTAGCACTGTTTCCTCTCTGGCAGAATCTCACCCACTTTAACCTCAGACTGTCACAATAATGTATCAAATGTCAGACTGCTTTTTTCGTTCAGTTTTAACCTGACTATACAAGACATAATAGATTTCCCTAACAATCAACATATACCGAACCGAACCGAAAACCGTGACCACGAAACCGTGAATCGAACCGAACCGTGGATTTTGTGAACCGTCCCACCCCTAGGGTTTGGTCATTCTCACTTACTGTAGATTTGACCATTTCCATTTCACTCTCCCTTTTTTTTAAGCCCCCCCCAATAAAAATAGTCTTAAAAGCAAAGCGGTACTGTCTGGCTAAATATCATCCGGTCCACCGAGTGTGACTCCTGACACCACGCTGGTAATTATCACGGCTCTGACACCGGCAGTGACAGCGTAGCCTTTATGATGCTAGCAGCAACACCCGCGCAGGAATGGGGGGGGTCACCCGGAAACGACCCCTTCCTAATTAAAGGCCGCCTTGCCCTGGACCCAGAGCACGTGATGAACACGTTACGGGCGGGCTTTCATTGGACCGCAGGGGAGCCGAGAGGGACTTGAACTGCCAAACACCTCCAACAGATGACGAGCAATTCAAACAAACCAAAAAGAAAGAAAGAAATTTAAAAAACAAAGATGAAAACTAGTATGGGGGGGGTCTGATATCTGTCATTGCCTTTGCAATGTTTTCCTGTCATTGCCTCTAGCGGGCCCCTGATGCAATGGTAGTCCACGTGCCTGCAGATGTGTGCAGATGTGTCTGCAGGCATGCTGGGAGCAACGTGTTCTCTCCCCACCGCGTGCGGCAGAGCGGCGGAGCGGCGGAGCGGCAGAGCGGCAGAGCGGCAGAGCGGCGGGCTCCGCGTGTCGGTGGGGGCGTGACGTCAGCGGGGGTAAAGAAGCTGAGGGCGTGTGTGCGCGCGCGTGTGTGTGTCTGTTTTCGGCGCAGGGGGTTATTTTTAGCTCACGTGCGGGAGCTTAAGGGGCGGAGAGGCGCGGAGCTCCGCGCGGAGGCGGGCGCGCGCGCGCGAGCGGAGGGCTATTTTTAGACTGCGGCTGATCTCCGCGCGCGGCGGCAGCTGTGCTCCGGCCACCACCGACCCCCCCTCCTTCAATATGCCGGGCTTCAGAAAGAGAAATAAACTCAAAACGAACCCTCACGGCCAATTACTGAACCCAAACCGGCGTCGAAGGATGCGCGCGCGCTGTCGTAAAGATCAAAGATTCAAAATGGGGACTATTTTTTTTTCGCAGCAGGTCACCTAAACGCACTTCTTTTTTCATTTATTTATTTATTTATTTTTTACCAAAATAAGCAACATGTGCTGTTTTGAGTCGGTTAGATATTCCCAAGATAATTCGAACACTTGAGATTGATTAAATCAGATTGTTTGACAAAAATAAATAAATAGAAATGTGTGAGAGAGAGAGAAAAAAAAATGCTCACCATCTGTCTCCAGAACAGATTCAGAGGTGGTGAGGTTTTCTTTAGACTGTTACTGAGAATAAATCCTGAATGTGTGAAGTAACAGCAAAAAAACATTTCCCTCCAAGGACATGCTAATTGCAGCAAAAACCAAAAAAAGATCTCAGAGTTCTATTGTGTGACCTTAACTAACCCATCCACAGACAGGGAAGGAAAGGGGGGGGGGCTTCATTTCAAGAAAACACGTGAGGAGCAGAAGAGGAAAAAAAGGAAAGGATCCTGGAGATGCTGAGGGGAGAAAAGAGCCAGTGATGAGGATGACGCACATTTGAACAGGAGGAGGAATACTGGGGCAGATTTTTGTTTTCCCACAACGCTGGGACTGCTGGAAGGGTGGGGGGGTACCATGGAAAAGCTTTTTTTTGTTAAACCTCACAGATCTGTGTCCTCAAATACCAAAAAAGCTGGTACAGACAACCAAAAATGACCTTCTGATAAGTTTTTCTTTTTTTTTAATAGGAGAAATATGCTAATTTTTTCTTAAAAAGAAGGTGTAATCAATAGACAAAAGATTTAAATCAATAGGTGAACCAAGGGAGTGAACTATGAATGCAGCCAATGACATTTTATTTGTATTAATCTTTGTCTTCTTCTCTAAATAAATAAAAAAAAACTAGGCAGGCATGAGCACAAAGGAACTGGGCTACCCGTTATGGCTCATTTTGACCCTTTGTTAATACTGTATTTTAAAAAATGAAAACTAATTATTTAATGAAAAAATATTTTAATGGAATTATTCTATTATTTTTGCAAGAACCTTTTAGTTTCTTATCAAAATGAGGTTTTATGGGAGCACTTCAATAGCTGACATCTGGAGAAATGCGCCTCAGGTTGTCCCGTTAATTTGACACCGTTCAAACAACCCAGCCTCCGAAATAATTTAACTGTCAGACAGTCTGTCTAACATAATTACAACCCTTAGGAGTGTGCACCACTACGGTGAGCCCATGGTTTTTTTTAAAAATTGTATTCAATAAAAGGTAACTTTAAGTTGCTCCTTTTGATCCTAATTTGATTATTACATCAAAAGCTGAGCTCCAGAGAGGTGATCTGTCCTTTTGTTTTGTATTGTATTTGTATTGTATTTGTATTCAGATGAAGAAATGACAAAGCACATGAGGGGAATAGTACATATTGACTATTGAGGTATTTTTTGTTTGTTTTTTGTAGCTCTTTTTAGCTCATGATAGATTAAGAAGTTAACATAGAAGTGAATTACTGTCAAATTCATTAAATATTTAAGACAAAAAAATGCTTATCATGCCATTATGAAGCATGGTAATAACTGGACTGCCGCGACTGCTATATTTCATTGTATCTTTAATTAAAACATTTCTGGCCCAGTAATTCCCAAAGAAAGGAGAGTTTCACCTCTCCTTCTGTCAGGCTGATTCTTTTGTTGGGAGCCTGAGAATAAAACTGGGGAATTATCTGTGTAATTTATTCAGGTCATGGGTAGAGTAGTGCAGCTCTGGGCTCAGACTGGTTTGATGAAGTTAATCTGCCCCGTACAGTAGAAAACGTTGGACAAAATGCAGTCCAGTTACCTCTGACGTGAGCAGGACAGCTGCTAACTCATGCAGATTCCACTGAAATGTGTTCAGAAACGAGCGTTTACGTGTTGTCCTTGAATTATATATAATGTAAGACAGCCTGAGGCGCACCCTGTGAGTACAACCAGAGAGGTTATATGAGTTCAGAGGAAGAGTAGAAGTCAAAGGTAAAAAAAAAAAGGAATTAGTAAGTTACATGAACTCAGTGAAAAAGTACAACTCTAATGTGAACAAATAGAAGCCAAATCTCACACTTTGAAAACAAGATGAACCTTTGATGCCTTTTGTTCTGTCTGTCAACCCTGCGTCTGACCCGAATAAAAGATGTTGGGATTGGAACAAAAAAAAAAGCATCCAACAGTGTTAAAACACTGCTGTGCGTTTTAGATGTGTTGTACAGGCTGACAGACTGGCAGACAGAAAGCAATCAACCGGTCTTCTCCTGAGTCCTTCCAGGGACAGAACAATAAAGCTTGGCTCTTTTCTATGTAAAACCTTTGTTTTTAAGTGTCCGCCATGGAGTCTAACTGTGAAAATAACAAGTCTGTGACATGCAACGGTTTTGCTAGCTACCCTGAAAAAGGTGCCGAGGCAAAGAAGTGGCCTGCTGTGCTTCACTAAGCAATGCTGTAGTTACTAACTAAATATTAAAAACGACAAGAGCTGCCAGCTCCTTTTTTCAGAATCAAATTAATTTACATGTGATGTGATTCATTTGGCTGTCTATTTACTAACCCCTGGCACATCTGTTCAAACTATTGAAATAAGAAGTGTTAAGCCCAAAAAAATCATATCAAATCAAATCTAAAATTTTAGGTATGTAACCCATACTGTAGTACTTATCATGCATTCTAAACAGGACATGGCAGCTGCCTCTGAACATTGGAAAACTCAAAGTTTAAAGGTTTTTCAAATGCAACCCCCCAAAAAAACCCTTACATTTTTTAATTGAACTTCTAATTTTCAGAAGCAAGTACAAAGAAAATATTTTCTCTCAACTGATCACATTCAGTATGTTTAGACAATACATAAACTGATAAAGAGTTTTACACAAAAGTCATGTGACCACAAAAGAAACGCCAACTGTCTCTGTCTGGATTTAGCTTCAAGTCAAATTTCTAGTAGTTGCACCCTGTGTTGGGTTAGAATGGATTTTAAAGATCTGTGTATGCTAAGTAGAACCAACGTTTTTTGCATTCTTTTTGCGTTTTTTGCATTCTTGAACAGGCAAATATATATATTTTTC